AATGCTCCTACAAACCCCGCGCCCTCATCAGGAACCCCTCGTTAGGGCATCCCTCCCCCTCCAGCAGCGTTTTGGGGTCCAGGGGGGGCGAAACTGAGGCGAAAAGCGCCAAATTCGGGTGTTTGAATAAAAAGCCGTTACGAGAGAGGCGGGAAGAGCGCATGCGCGAAGGGAGGCGGAGCCGCGCATGCGCCGTTAAGATCCGCGCGGCCGCGCAAGCGCAGTGCGCGCMGCAGCCGTTACGCGCCACCATCCGGGGCCTGGCGGCGCCATCTTTGAGGCGGGTGGAGGAGACGCGTCCAAAATGGCGGCTCCCAAGCGCCAGTAGCCGGCGCGGCGGGCGGGCCTTTCTCGGCTTTCAGAGCGGCGGCGGCGGCCCGGAGCGAGCGGCGGAGGCGGCGGGAAGAGGCGCCCGGGGTCGGCGGGCGGCGGGTGGCTGCAGGTGCGCTGCGGCGGCAGAGCGGCGCGGAGAGCGGCGCATCCGGGTCCCGCGGCCGCCGCCATCTTGGGCCGCCGCAGAATAGCGGGCTCCCGCCTCCGCCATCTTGGGGCGCCGCATCGGGGCTGTCCCGGAGGGGGGATCGGGGTGGGGGCGGCGGGGCCTGAGCGGAGAGCGCGGGGAGCRCCCAAAGCTCTGCTCCCGTCCCGGGCAGGCGCCGCCATCTTGTGCGCGCGGCGAGGAGGAGGAAGAGGAGGAGGAGGARGAGGAAGATCCGGGCACCGGGCGGCGCCATCTTGGAACCCCCCCTTCGCACAGCAGCGCGCCGCCATCTTGTGACCCCTCCCCCGCGCACCCSGGCACCGGTCGCTCCGCCGCCTTGGAGCCCCTGCGGTAGCGGAGCCGCACCCGGTAAGGGCGCAATGAAGCGGAGAGCGCCGGGGGAATGCATGGGGAGCGCGGGGGAGGTGGTAGGAGCCGAAACCGGGAGTCGGTGCCGCCGGGYGGGCGGCGCCATCTTGGGAGGGGACGCACGGGGTGTCATGGCGGCGCCGTGCGCTGACATCCGGGTCCTTCCCCCCCACCGCCCCCGRGGCGCCATCCTGGGAGGGGCCGCTGCATCCGGGTCCCGCGCGCCGCCATCTTGAGAGTCCGGGGGGGGCGGGGGGCGATGGAAGCGCCGGGGCACCCCCGGCCTGTTTGAGTCGCTCAAAGCCGCGGAGCCGTGAGGCCTCAAAGCGGTTCCGGTGTTTCGTTAACCCCAGGGGGTGGCGGGGACAGCGGGGGCGCCCCGGGAAAGAGGAAAAAGATGAGGAGGAGGGGGCGCGGTTTGAGGAGGGGGCGTTACTCAGGGAGAGGCGGGGCGCCCAAGATGGCGGCGCCCATGGCGGGCTGAGCGCTCCGTACAGCGCTGCGCCGTCGGGGAACGCGCCGCGCCGCCGGCAGCCAGGCCGAGGGGGACTCGGTGTGTGCGGGGGGACGAGGCCGGGAGTGTCGGGGAGCGATTGCGCGGCCGCGGGAAGGCGGGAGGGGGCGGCACCGGGAGATGGCGGCGGGAGGAGGGAGCCGAGGAAGCGGGGGAGAACCGGAGAAAAGGCGGGCTGCGGGGCGGTTTCTTTAAGAAGCGGCTTGAGTGGGCGTGGCCACGCCCCTCCGTGACCACACCCCCTCAGTTGGCGCCATGGCCGCGCCCCTTCATGGCGGCTCCGTACAGTTCCTTTCGCGYCCCTCCGCCGCTCGCTCCGGCCCCGTCGCTATCGGGCCCGGCCCGGGGACCACCGAAATGCCGGTGAAACCCCTCCCGGTTCTCCCCGAAATGCCGCTGCCTCCTCCCGTCCCGCCCTCCCCACAATGTCGCCCCCCGTCCGCGGCCAAGATGGCGCCGCCCGGGTCCGGAGGGGGCGGATCCGCGCTGGCCCCGCCCACTCCCGTCGCTTCCCGCCCACCCGCCGCGGCCGCCGGACACAGGCGCAAGATGGCGGCTCCCAGGGCGGCGTGAGGGGCCGCCGCCACCGCGCTCCGCCCGCAGCCGCAGCCCCGCGCCGGGAGCCTCGGCAGCCGCGCGACCCCCGGAGCCTCCGCCGGGAATCGGGGAGCGGCCGCGGGCCGGGAGGGGGAGG